CCCAGGTCCTTGTCAACACTAAGGAGCTGTGGTGACATAGTGGCTGGAGCTCTGGTAGCGTAGTGGTTACGAATCGGGCTGCGAACCTTAAGGTCAGCAGTTCGAAACTATCAGCCGCTCCGCGGGAGAAAGAGGAGGCTTTCTACTCCCATAAAGATTTACACCCTCGGAAACCCTGTACAGGGTCGCTATGGGTCGGAACCGACTCGACGGCACTTAACAACAACAACAACAATCCATATACTGGTGGTTCTTAACTACCAGCTGCTCCACGGGAGAAAGATGTGGCGATCTGCTTCCATAAAGATTCACAGTCTTGGGAACGCTGTGGGGCTCTTCTGCTCTGTCTTAGAGGGTTGCTATGAGTTGGAATCGACTCAATAGCAATGGACTTGGTTTGGCTTTGGGTTAAGCTGAGAGGTTTAGAAAGGGTGTCTCATTACGATTTTAACTTGTATTCTAAAAATTCTTCAGTGAAATGCCTGCAAATATCCTTTGTTTAATTTTCATTGGGTTGTTGATCTCCTTCTTATTGATTTGCATATTAAAGAAATTAATCTTTTTATTACATAAGGTGCAAATATTTTTTTCCTATTTTTATTGTTTGTCATTTGACTTTGTGGTCTTTCTCTACCCCGTCTCTAGAAAAGCCGTTATGAAACCTATACTCACCTCCTGGCTGTGAAAATTAAAGTGGGCTCCGATGACTTAGAGCGGATTGAGGCCCGACTGGCAACCCTGGAAGGAGATGACCCTTCTCTCCGGAAGACACGTTCCAGTCCTGCTCTCAGTCAGGGCCACGGACCTGTGACTGGCAGCAAAGCCATGAAGGATGCCACTGGGCCTGACACTTAGCTGGTGTGGATGAACAGGCCCTGGAGGCAGACAAATGCCTCCATAGGGGCCAGTGAGCACAATTCCAGCCAGAAGCCACTCAAACCAAGTTGGCCGGCAGCCAAAGTGGTGTGGAGAGCCTTGTGGGCCAAGAGGCTGGAGATGCCATTCATGGCGGCGGTCTTCTGTGCTGCAGCGTCTCTGAGCCTCAGACTCTTTTCCCAGCCTTTGTTTCCCTCTCCACCGTGGAGCCTCATTCTGTAGGCCAGTTGTGTGCATGCTCTAGACACCATCTCACTGGAAAAGCTGGAATGGCTGTTGTCTTCCCAGGCTCTCTCTCCTCTTCTCATCAAGTCCTCCCCTCATCTCCTTTGTTTCTGAGGGCAGCTCTTGGCTCCAGGTTCCAGTTTGGACACCCACCCTTTTCTCTGCCTCCTTCCTCTGAGATGATCAGCAGCAGGTCTGCAGACCACCAGCACCATCGTCTCCTCCTCCTCCCAACTTCCGGAACCATGCGTAGTGCTCCTGACTCACTTTGCAATAATCCAGGACCTAGGCCTTGCCCCTCTCCACACCAAACTGTCTTAACTCATGCCACCTCTCGTTTCATTCATTGAGGCCACTATTGCTTTCTTTTTATACAGACATAAATGTACATATATAAGAATTATATATATAAGGAACACCTTTAAAGATGGTCTTAGAACTCAGATCAGTTAAAAAGGATGAAATAAGATGAAGGAAAAGCCAATTTCTAAGCTCCACCTGTTAGCAAGTAGACTGACATCGGGCCTCCAGTGGCCCTGACACTCTGGAAGGGAAGGTGGGAATGTTGGGATGATCCCACAATCTGTTTTTCCTTCTTCTAACTGGCCTGTGACTTATACTGCTTTTACAGTCAATACTTCTGGAATAAATAGTGTGTTGTGGCCCCCTTTGTCCCACAGGGGTCTTTGGGAGTGAATGGGATGGGACCATGACTGTATTGATAACTTGGTCTTTATGTTGGTGTTGCCAGGTGTTGTCTCTGAGCTCCAGAGATGGCATCTTGTATGGACCTACTGCCACAGGGATAAAGGACACTCTGCCTTGCAAATAACCATTTGTCAACAAACCCAAAGATGCCCGAAGGGGGAAGGCTCTGGAAATCATGAGTTCTTGGTCTTGAGAAAAGGTGGAATGACAATTTGCTGATTCTGGACTGATAGTTCTTTTACTCATTTAGTGAATTGGAAAAGTCTAGTTAAGGACATGGAGTCCTGGGGTGGTGCTACAGGTTAATGTGCTGGGTTGCAAGGCCAGTTTGAAATAGCAAGGTTGGTGGTTCAAGCTCACTAGCTGCTCCTATTCAGGGTCGCTGTGAGTCGGAGCCGATTGGACAGCACTTAACAACAAAGTTAAGGACATATTTGGGAAGAATAGAGAAATTTGCCATGTGACGATCATCAGATTAGCATCCTTTAAACCTAGCACTTCTTTGACAAGTGGGTGGGTGGAGGGGTAATGGCACTGTCAATACAACTATGCTGAGCAAATCCTTTCTATTTTTTAAATAGATTACTATAGTCAGTCTGGCAATCTGACCTCAGAGAAACATCTTTAGTTTAGAAAATAAGCCAACCTTGCAATTTAGTGTCTAATATTTACAAGCCCACTCAGATCTGAAGCAAGGGACGTGTGAGTCCATGGAGAGACATAGTGTTTTAAGTCCAGATGACTTCATTTGGATCAACTGGAGTGTGTTTTATATTGAAACCATCTGGCCCCTTCGTTTTGCTCAGGGGAAGTAAATGTTCATAAATGTTCATTTAAATGGAATTGAAAAAGCAAATGTGGCAACATGAAAGAGCTCTGGGTCCTTTCTCCACACTGTCTCAAACGTCCTTCACATTTTGGGGTCAGCGTGATGCTCTCCATTCATAGGGTGGTGAGTGAGAGTAGAGGAGCAAACTCCAGCAGCTGTAGACAGATGTGTTTCCCTGAGCACTAGCTGTGCCTCCCATCAGTAAAGAAAAAATTTAGCTCATATTCATAATATGTATACTATTTATTTGTAAATTATATACATGTACTAATGTACTAAAATATTATGTACATTATAAAAATACACAAAAATAGAAGTTTAAAAAGGATGAGATGAAAATAAATCTAAAACAAAGTTCTAATATTTTCTTCCTGCACTTGAATGGGTCATAATGTTCCCCTCTCAGTCTCTACCCCTGCCATGTCCACTCTCTAGGGCTGTCTAATCCTAGGGGCCTGAGGACCACAGGTGACATGTAGTACTTGATTTGCGCCACCTGGTGGTCCTGGGAGATGAGCAGTGGACTCAGGGACTCCTAGGGAGCTGACCCTGGAGGACAACATCTCTTGAGTTTTCATCCTCATCAACCAGGGTCAGTGTGGGTGCAGGGGATAGTGTGGTGAGAAAAATATTGTCCAGATCTCTGTCCACATGGGGCTCACAGTCTTGTAGATGTAGGGGTTGGTTGTTATTACTGCTGCCATTTGGCACTCTGCGGGCTGGGGAAGAATGACCTGGCAGAGAGGAGAAGAAGGAATTAGCCGAGTAGAGGAGATGGCTCTAGCACAGGAAGTTGCTCCTGAGGTTGGAGTGGTATCAAGGAAGTGGTTTAACTGGCGACAGTTCTTCATGAAAGGCATACTACAGGTTCCCCAGGCTGGCGTCTGACAGGCAGAGTGAAAAAGAAGGCTTCTTTAGCTAAACCTGCCCTCAGGTCCCATCCTCATACCTGTGAAATGATTGGAGAGATGATCTGATCAGAAAAGAGCCACCGAATTACATTAAGTTCTGGCCTTTAGACTCTCAACAGCTGAGGATCCAGAGCAGATAATAGAGGTACCAAATGAGGTCATGTAAAGTTCAGAATTCACCAAGAGGTCATTCAGAATTGAGGTCACATAGAGGTCGGTGGGTTAAGGAGATAGTTTCTGACTGAAAATTCTGAATAGCAACTTAGAGCCCTCAGCAGGGTCAAATCAAGATGCTAAAGCTTGGCTGCAAAAAGGTCAGTATTAATTTAAAGTTAATTTATGATCTTTTAGAGGTCAGAGGTCACACAAATAAATTATTGACTCTTGGAAAATTTAAAACCCAACACAGTAAACCAAGCATCAGCTGGGTTCATGTAGTGTTTAGTTCATTGTTTTCCCTTGTTTCTTTTTAACAGGTACTTTCTCCCAGTGCTCAATGGTGACTACCAGGCCATTAGGTGTTTCTTTACTTTACCTCCCTCTCATCCAGCTTTGCCACTCTCCAACTATGTGCTTCCAGAAGGCAAGGCACATGGTGTCATCATCATTATCAAATTAGCCATTTAATAGGCTGCTATCATGTGCCAAAAGCTGTACTGGGTGCTTTTATGAATATAGGCTCCACAGCAACCCTGAGGTAGGTATTCACATAACCATTTCACTGGCAAGGAAACTGCAGCATAAAATCACACAGGAGCAAAGCTGGATTTGAACCTGAGCTCCATTGATGCCTATGCCACTACAATCCTAAATTTTCCTTTACTTCCATCTGTAGGTCTCCAAACTGACCACACATCCTGGGGGCATTTAGAAACACACACACACACACACACACACACACACACACACACACGTTTGTCAACTACTTGAGTTCTTTGGATAGAACTTCCTCATGTCTAATTGGACTCTTGTTCCTTGGTGCTGGGCCGTAGTTTAAAAATTAGTCACTTGACGAGAAAGGCTTCTTAACCCTAGACCTCTATCTACCTTCACAAAGCCTGAAATCACACTCTTTACCAGCAGCTGCGGGTTTAGACAGGCCCTGGCTCTTAATGGGGGTATAAAATTGGGGAAAGGGCAACACCCTGTGGGCTTAACCAGCTGCAGCAGCTGTGATCTTCCTGGCAGTGGAGAGTACCCATTATGCCACCTAGCATGTCTAGACTTTGCCTGTGACATGCCTGAGGCCCCAAGGGTCATCTTGCCTCAGCGACCACAGTGCCAGCCCCACAACCCTCCCCTCTTCACCCACCTAGGGCCAGAAATTGTTGCCTCAGTCCAGCCTTTGCTGCTCCAGGGCAGGAATTAGGCCAGGGTTCTGAGGCTGCGTTTGAAATAGAGTAATTTGCATCAGTCCCTTGGCCAGGTTTTTCAGCAGCCAAGGGGGACATCTAGTAACTATTCCTTAGGAGAGGGCCAGGAGAGAGTTGTTTGTTGGAGCCTGTCCTGGGCCCTGGGGTCACTTCCTCTCAGGGACTGTCCTGGCCCTCTCCACCCTCCACACCAACACCCATCCATCTCACCCAGGCTCGCATCCCTTTCTCCCTTTCTCACCTGGGGGCGAGATACACACCATCAAAGATGAGTTATTTCTGATTTTATTTATAATATAAAAATGTTCAAGTGTCAACAGTCAGATGTTTGGACATTTCAGGGCAGGGTTCCCATTTGTTTGTTTCTGTTTGGGGTTTTTTGTTTTAATAACAATTATCTTTCTGACAAATTAGCAGATTCTGTGGACCCAGTTTTGCGAGTTAAGGGGTCATCATGGGAAGAGGGAGAGAGGAAGTTATAGGTGGGTTGGGGCTGGGAGGTGGGTTGTGAGAAAGAATGTTACTTTATTGCTAAAAAGGGGAATCAAATACACTGTCCAGTGGCTCTTCTAGGTCCCAGCGTGACCATGCATCCAATCTAAATCTGAAATGCAAAGGACATGCAGGCATAAAATAGAAAAGACGACCTGTAAACGAAGGTGCTGCAGAGGACCGAGGGGCATCCTGGAGGCCATGAGGAAGAGCCGTGTACCCTGGGTCCCTGGCAGAGCAGTCCTTTACCCTGGGCCGGGGCTGTGGGGGAGATCTTTCTCAGCCCCCTCTCTTAGGAGCTGTGAGGAGCGGGGAGACCCCCTCCTCATCTGGTTGCTGTCGCTGGGCCTCTTTGTCTTCTCCAGTATGTTACCCAACCTCAACTCCGGGCCCAAGCTTAGGCTAGGACACCCCACCCCCCACCCCACTCACTCAAGATATTGCCTGCAATCAAACCTACTTCTGTTCTCATTTTCTTCCCCAGGGCCAACCTTTTACAACCCCCAACCTCGTCCCCACCAGAAACCACAGCTTCCCCTTTCCCTGCCTTCTCACCTCTGGCCGACTCAGGATCCCGCAGCCCTCCCCCATCCACCTTGATACCCCAGAATTCTATCCAGGAGCTCCAGATAAGCATACAGCAAAAGGCACCACAATATAGGTTTCTATTAAAGAGTCAAAAAATTGGCCCATCTCTCTTTTTTTTTTTGTTGTTTCTTTTTTTTTTTCCGAAGCTGTAAATCAGGATGTTACATATAAATAGTTTCCCTATAAAAACGTCTTTGCCGTTAGCTAGTATTATAAGACAATTTTTGCTAAAATGAAAATAAAACATTTTGTTATACTTTTTTCCTTTTATAGAAAATAAAAATATTTTTATTTCTTTTTTTCTTTTATTAAAAATAAAAATATTTTTATTTCTGTTGGTTCTGTTGTGACATCAACCAGGTGGTTTCTTATGTGTATTATTTGTGTTTTCCTTATTTTCTTTTGTTAGGTTTGCCAATGGTTTGCCAATTTTATTAATCTTTTTGAAGAACCAGATCCTTGTTCTGTTGATTTTCTCTATAGTTTTTCTGTTTTCTATCTATTTATAGACAGAAATAGATAGAATTTCTGCTCTAATTTTTATTACTTCTTTTCTTCTGTTGACCATAGGTTTACTTTGCTGGTCTGTTTCTGGTTGCTGAAGATATTGTATTAATATATTGATTTTTTTATCTTCTTTTTGATGTGTGCATTTATTGCAATAAATTGTATCCTCAGTTCTGCTCTTGCTTGTCCCAAATATTTTGGTATGTTGTGTTTTCGACTCATTTGTTTCTAGGAACTTCATGAATTCACGTTTTATTTTTTTTTACTACCCAGGAGTTTTGAAGCAGAGTGTTACTCATTTCCATGTGTTTGACTTTATTTACTTGTTGTTTTCATTGTTGATTTCTAATTTTATAACATTTGCAGT